TGCACTATGGCTGAAATCACGATTTAGGCGGCAAAAAGTCAATTTTTCAACATTACAATTTAAAAAATTTTTTGACAGCATTCAATACACAACATATTGATAAGAATAAATCAAAAACAAAAATTACTATTGGCAACCCTGTTTACGCACAAACAGCTGTTAATGTTTACATAACTTCTAACACGTGTAATTACAAGTGAACCAGCAATTTATTTGGTAAAATTAAAAGCTGTTTTTTTAAAAATTAATTTTTGTAAAAAAAACTTTGTAAATATGAATTCTAATTCTCGAGGTGAGTACTTTTACTATATATAAATACACTTTGCTAAATGTTCGTATTTCGTGCGTAGTTTCGTGTGTTCTATGTGAATTTTTTGTGTGAAATTTTTTAGAGTTTTTTAATTTTTCGTGGAGTAAAACTAAAAATGTAACAAAGTGTTACGGGAACTTTTTATATGTGATTGTTCGTAGAAAACTCTAGTTTTATGTCATGCTGAATGTGTCTGCTAATGACTGCTAACGAATGAATTATTCATCCTTTTGCAGAAATACTCAGATTCAAAAATTCCGAAATATTTGAGTTTTGGTTGAGAAATAAGAGGAATGTATCGAATTACATAAAAGGAAAAATTCCATACGAAATTGATTCTGAATTAAGTAAATTAATTTGTACTAAATCACGGAATTTATCTATTTTTATTAAACGACAATGGGATAGACAATGCAGAAATGAGAAAGGATTTAGAAAATATAATAAGGATTGGTTGGGTCGAGAAACAATTTTATTTGTACCGAAAAAGATCAATGCTATCGGTCGTCCAAAAACTACCTATGTTGATAGCGGCGAAAGAAATAAAAGGAGATTAGCTTCCGAATTAGCTTCCCAACAAGGAGACAATACGCAACTATTAGTTCATGCTGCCTCTATATCTGCCAAAAAATCGCACTCAGCGGATTTGACATTTGTCCTACAACAAGTTGTTATATCTCTAAACCGACCATCCAAAATTCGAAAAGTTCTTAATACTAGCCATAAAGAAGTTACACCAATATCACCTGAAGAAGCTCTGACGTTTTTGTTAGAAAACGGATTAACTAAACAACAGTACAAAAATATGCGTCAATTAAATAACCAGATTAAGAAGTTGGAACCACTACAATACATATTAAGTAATGGGAAACAAATTAAAGTCAACTATAATTTATATATGACATTAATAGACGGGAAGGTCTTAAATGTGTTAACTGAAACTAAAAGTACACAACAATACCCCATCTGTCATGCTGGACCAAAGCAATTTCGAACTATAAAAAACTTTGATTCTCCACATTTTGAAGTGAAGGCCGCGCATTAAAATATGGATAAGTCCTTTGCATGCGTGGATTCGTAGTTTCGAGTTTGTTTTAAAACTTTCATACAAGCTTGATTTGAAAAAAATGGCAAGTTCGCGGAGCAGAAGAGAAAAGAATCCTTTTAAAAAAGAAACAAAAAATTCAAAGTTGATTCTCCAAAGTTTCGCGCTCATTGTATTAAAACTAGTGAAATATTTTTCCAAAACTACGAATGGTACTCGATGTCTGCCACATTACACAAAATTTTAGTCCATTCATCACAAATAATTGGAGCATCAGTAGTACCCGTAGGTTGCCTTGCAGAAAATGCATCTGAAGCGCGAAACAAATATTATAAAAAAGACAGAGCTGGCCATGCTCGAAAGGATTCAATAATGCACAACATACTTGACATGTTTCATAGAGCTATGGATAGCTCTGATCCTTATATATCAAGTTTATGTTTAAAAGAACGTACAAATAGTTCAAAATAGCTTCCATTTCCTCGAGAAGTCATTCATCTTTTTAAAATCCCAGAAATATCGCCAGAACTGCTTTTACCTTCAACATCTCAAGAAGCTTCCAGGTACGATTATACTTCTGATTCTGATGAAAGCTTAGAATCGTTAAATAATTATTCATTGGAATTAGAAGCGGAAGAAAATGAAGAAACATTCCGTGATTAATTAAGCCCTATTCCTTTTAAAAATATATATACATTATAAATATATTAATTTCTTGATACTTTTACTTGTTTTTCTCATGTAACCTTTTTAATAAAAGTCCATATAATCGGGAAGTGCTTTCAAATCTATTTTTCATCATTACAAATTTGGTAAAGCTGGCTTGTCGGGAAGGACTTTTTGTCATTACTTTGTAAGAAAGGGGCGTGACCCGCCCATTTTTTCACAAACCTATGTTTATACCTTTATAACTTTGCATACCAAATTTGGTAAAGCTGGCTTGTCGGGAAGGACTTTTTGTCATTACTTTGTAAAAAAGGGGTGTGGCCCGCCCATTTTTTTCTGAAATTATTTGGTTTACCTTTATAACTCTGCATACCAAATTTAGTGAAGCTGGCTCGTAAGGAAGACTTTTTGTCATTAGTTTGTGAAAAAAGGGGTGTGGCCCGCCCATTTTTTCTGAAATTAATTTGTTTACCTTTATAACTCTGCATACCAAATTTAGTGAAGCTGGCTTGTCGGGAAATATTTTATGCCGCCAAAATCGCGATTTCGGCCATAGTGCAATGTACTGAAGTTAATAGAAATTAATCACTTGCAAGTTTCCTTGAAATCGGTTCAGATAAAGATATAGCATAGCTGCTATATATTTTTAACTTATTCATGTTAATTGTACACCAAATAATCAATGGGTGTCTGATTGATATTAAATTTTAAACAGTGCATAAGTTGCAGGATAACATGTGTAGGGTTTGATGTTAGTCGGTTTAGATATAGATAAATATCACATATTTAAGTTCATTCAATTGTATGTCAATGTTTCTTCGAAAAGGCGATGCCTTTTTGGATACATTTGTACCAAAGTGATGAAGGGTATTATATAGTCGGCCCAGTCCGACTTTACTACTTTCCTTACTGGTTAAAATTAAAAAATCCAAAATTTTATTTTTTTTCACACATTGACAAAATGTAAAAATTAGAATGTCAAAAATTTTTCATTGTAAACAAATTTTATTCCAATATGTAGATAATGGAGAGATAAAAAACAGCAGACGTTAGCGGAATTACTGAACTGGTGTTTTTATCATTACTTATAATAACATAAAAGGGCCAAAAATGATGAGTCCAACATTATCGATTTGGACCAATTTTGTTAATTCCTGGTCATTTAAGATTAGTATTTAATATCTGCGTATCATACAAATTTGTATGAGCCGATTTATTTAATATATTCAAATATACATACATATGTATGTATAGAAAATGAATATTAGTTCAGAGGTATGATTACTCTTGATGCTATAATTCCTCGTCATCGCGGAATTTTCGAAGTTTATCTTGCCTATCTTACTTACGTGGGTTGGTATGACTTACTGCGAAAATTTCAGTAACATCTATTTAGCGTTTTTTTGTGTCAACAACCAAAAGAGTTTCCATTTTCTACATTTAGATTAATTAAATGCAGTGATGAGTACATTTTCCCCTATTGTATCGCGCCAATTTTTATAGGGATGATGCGTATTTGCTACCAAGTGACCCAGACAAATTTTGAAGTGGGGATCTGTGACCCTTCTTAAGATATATGCTTAGAAAATGAATATTAGTTCAGATGTATAATTACTTTCGATGCGATAACTCCACATTCACGCGAAATTTTGGAAGTTTATATAGCCTATATTATTTCCCTCGGATGGGATGATGTGCGGTAAAAATTTCAGTAAAATCTGTTCAACGGTTTTTGAGTCTAGAAACAAAACTTTTTTTATTTCCTACATGTAGTTTATTTAAGTGTAACGGAGAGTGCATTTCCACCGATCTTATCTCGCTCATATTTTTATGAATAATGTGTATTCACTCCTACGATATAAAGATAAATTTTGAATGGGTTGTCTGTAACCGTTCATAAGATAAACGCATATTACATGATGCTATAACTCCTCATCCACGCGGAATTTTAAAAGTTTATATAGCCTATGTTACTTTCAGGGCATGCCCCCATATATAGTGTAAATCTCATTAAGATCTGTTCAGCGGTTTTGGCGTCTATCGGTAACATACAAACAAACAAATTTTTTTCTATTTTATATACATATATAGATTGTTCGGCCAAACATCACCAGCATAGATATATGTGGAGCACCTACGGCCACGATTTATATGAGAATAATGAAGATATATCGTAATTCCTTTACAGGGTAAGACCTATTGGTGGGAATCCTTTTCTTTTGCTGCAATACAATGTCACCCACCATGTATCGAGGAAATGTAAACAAATTTGTTTCGAACAAAATGGTCGACATGAAGTGTTAAAAGGCTGAATATGTGGAAATTCGTACTATAAGAGTACGAAATCTAAACCAACTTCCAATAAGAAAAGTGATATTAGTGCACTGGCGTGTGGTAAGGCTGGAATATTCGTAGTTTAAGGGCATAGTTGGGCAGACGTGCACACCAGCGTTGATGCGTTCTCTTAACATTTTTTGATGTCAAAACAAAAATAAACCTTCATGAAATATTTTCCACAAAACGAAATCATTCTAGTCTCAATTGGATACGTTGTGCAAGATTTCGAGCCAATCAGACAAACATTAGGAGTTTGGTGCAACATTTACTTTAAATAGAACAAAAATATATATGTGACAGGTAATATCTAAATTTGAACCAATTTTCAAGAAAATTAACACACATTATTCTAAAGTTAAGTTAGTACGTTATGCCAAATTTCGTGCAAATCGAAAGGTATATAGGGACTTTGGTTCACCATTTACATTAAATCGGACAAAAATATATATCGGAGCTATATCTAAATCTGAACCGATTTCCACGAAACTTAGCACACATCATTCCAGACTTAGTACAATACGCTGCGCCAAATTTCGTGCAAATCGAAAGATATTTAGGGACTTGGCGCACCATTTACCTTAAATCGGACGAAAATATATATGGGAGCTATATCTAAATCTGAACCGATTTTCCCATAGCCTTTTTTTAATAGGATTCGTCCTTGGGCCAAATAAATGAGTTGTGCCAAATTTCATCCAAATCGGATGATAAATGCGACCTGTACTTTCTTTACAATTTAACATCAACAGACCGTCGGACATGCTTAAATCGACTCAGAAAGTGATTCTATGCATATTCTCAAAAGGAATCATGGGTCTATTTCGTTTCCTTTTGCCTGTTACAAACATATTCACATAGGCATAATACCCTGTACCACAGTGCGTTGAAGGGTATAAAAAGGGGGTTATATGGGGACTTACCCCAAAAAGGATCTGATCAGGAATATATACTTTATAGGGTAGGAAATGATTATTTCAATGCGTTACAAAGGGGAAAACAAAACTGATATACCCTCCATGCTATGGTGGAGGTTATAAAAAGTAAACACACACATCGAATGAATGTGTGTGTAGCAGAAAGTGTTGAGCATCCCGCTAGCAATGAAAATTCCAATTGATGGTATGTAACTAGTCCCAGCACTAGTTAAAAACCGTAAAAGTTACTAATTTGACCCTAAAGTAATCCAAGAGGAACCAATTGACTACCTTTTTATCCTATAGTAAGCGAGGAGGAGTCACTTGGGATATTAAAGAAAGAGAAGAGAAAAATATTTAAACATTCTCTCCCACTTCTGATGTTATGTAGCTAGTCCCAGCACTAGTTATACCGTACCAGTTTCAAATTTCATCCTAAAGTAATATCATCCGAACCAATTGACTACCTTTTTATCCTGTAGTAAACGAGAAGGAGTCTCTTGCGATCTTAAAGAAAAAACACGGTTTTTGGTGGTTGGTCTCCATAAAAAATCCGTTATTCTTCATAAATGCAAGATGAATTTTGTTTGGAAATAACCACTATTTTTGTGATCGTCTTGAAGTGCGGTGGCATCAAATTGAAAAAAATGAAAAAAATCGCTGTTGCAAGCAAAAATTTACTGTGAAAAAAATTCATTCCGGGGGGGGGGGGGTAGAGCCGCGCCGCCCCCCTGCGTACGTCCCTGATTGCAGTATGAAAGTAGTACGGTTTTATTTATATTTAATTTAAAAAAATAATAAAAATTTAAATCAAACTAATAAATGAGTGTTTTAATTGCTAATTGTATCATAAAAACGGTACTGGTACCGGACTTACGGAACTAGAAAGGTGGGTAGTGTAATGTAACTAGTCTTTGACTGTAAACCTATAACTAGTATAATACTACTCCTCGGGTAAGCGAAGAAGTTTCAATTGGTTAACTCCTATGACATCCCCATGTTAAAGTAAACAGTTAAATACATTGTTAAGGGGTGTAAAGTGGCACTAGTCACTGAAGAGCTAAGAATCGACGTACTAGTTCCTCTTGCTAGCGGATATTCTTGTTACTGTTTTGAGCATTTGCGAAAATTAGGGAATGATTGTTATCATTCGTGAGAGAATGTCAGAAATAATTTCAACCCCCAAAAGAAGCGCAAGATCGTTGTTGTGTGCTCTCACTCGTTTGTTATGTGCGTGGGAACATTCGCTTGGAGAAGATTTTATCGCGATAAGTTCATTCTTGAAATGAGCCCAAAAAGAAAATCACGCTTTTTGAATCATTCGCTAGCCAATTTTGCGCTACCTAGAAAAAAACTATATATACAAAATAATTCAACAAATTTTTATTGCATCAGGTAGTAAACAAAATTTCGAAACAGGTGTAGATTTATTAAAAAAATTGTTTTTCAAAATTTTTGGAGGGGAAGATTAATTAAAAAGTATATATATTTTATATAAAATATAGTGAAAAAACACACTTTGGGTGGTGAAATGTTTAAAATGCGGAAATCTTTAAAGCGTCGACTACTGGTACACTTATCCCATAAACATATGATTGGCTTTGAAGTATATAAATCCAGTATATAAATCCTCTTCTCAGAGCGCAGAAAGTTCTGTTAGAACTTTCAAATAACTATAAACATAGATAATTTTACAAATATTTCAGTTTTATGGACCTTAATTTTTGTAATTTTTTCTGGTCGTTC